CGGTCAGACATACAGACATACAGACGACGGTACTTATATATATAGATTCCTCTGTAAGGAATAATGATAAAAACGGGTGATATAAATGCCGAGTAGTTCTTTAACAGCTTTTTATGGTTAAGTTATTTTATTTACAGGTATTATAAGGTGATTATATTATATAAGAGTGTAAGAAATATATTTAAATATTGATTTGGTTTTTCTCGAAAAAGATATTTATCATTTCGTTAATAGTAACAATGCAATTCTAATTTTATTTGTCTACTTATCTACTGAATAGCTTTCTAATGGGAAATATAATTTGTTTCATTACCAACGGAATCTTGTATATCTGTTTAATAAACGTATATACAACAAGTTTTTAGGTCATTTGTTCGTCATTATGTTTATCATATATATTTATGTAATGTAATATAAATAAAATACAAAAGTGAGGACAAATTGTTTACAGGAAATTGTGTTGCACATTACACAAACAAGATTATTACAACGCTTTAGAATCTCTTTCACATTTATTAATCACATATCGCAAACGTAAAGTAAATTAACATTTTTTAAATTTTTTAACAAAATATTATTATTTCGTAAATATAAATCTCTATTGACATTTGCAAAAAACTGGTAATATTTTTTTAAAAAATTATATTAGAATGGAAATAATTAATAATCGTCATATCATAGTTCTACAATGACCGGCAAAAATAAGATGCCTCATCTATATGTGACTGGATTGCTTAAACTATGTTAAAAATTATTTATTTATGACTAAAATATAAAAAATTTATTTGTTAATTAAGTGTTTTTAATAAAAAAATTAATTTGTTATTTAATATACTGTGTTTATTTGTAAAAAATTATGTAATTAAAAGTGACTAAATGAAAATATCAGTTAAGATAATATAGTATTTCAATTTAAAGATATAATAATATTAGTCTAATTAATATTTAATATGATTTTTATTAGCCACAATAACTTTTTGGAGTCATCTTGGTATACTTTGAAGTAAATTTTACGAATGTTGTAAGTCTACAGGTTTTCCTATGCTAGTTGTAGTTCTTTAAAGTAAGAGTATATATTGGTTATTTTGCATCAACACTTATTATCCAGGATCCCCCACAGATTTTCGATCGGATTCAAATCTGGAAACTACGGAGACTGTTTGAGCTGTCCGATATTGCAAGAACGAGAAAAAACTTGACTTTTTTTATTGTGTGTTTTGAATCGTATCTTGCTTGAAAATACAATTATATTCTAACTAGAACCTCAGCAGAAAAAGACTACTCCTTTTCAAAATATGTCAATGTAGATATCTGCCGTTATATTTTCATCAATTTTTGCAAGATTTCCTATTCCTGTCTATAGTAAACATCTCTAGACCATAATATTTTCTCCACCAGGCACCCTCCATTTTATACTGAGGAACCCATTTTAGTTGAATCAACTAAATTTTTTGGTTGGAAAACCGAGGATTCTTTGGTTGGATATGAACAAACAAAATTCCTTAGTTAATATAACAAAAAATTTAGTTCACATAACAAAAATTTTTCCAACCAAAAGATTTAGTTGATTCAACTAAATAGGTTTCTCATTGTACACAGTTTTCCGAATATGATGATCTTGAAGTTCCTCTCCGTGCTTTCTCCAGACTCTAATCTGCTTTTTTTGGTCTAAATAATTTGAATTTGCTTTCATTTGTCCATGGAATTTTTTTACACAGAAGTTCAGTGACATATTTGCGAACTTCCGAGCAAATTGCAAAGAATTTTTCTTAAGCTCTGTTAAAAAGTCGTTTATCACGCGCGAACCGGCCGTGTAAATTTGCTTTGCTAATTGTAAGTCTACGTATAATGCGGTTAGAAACATTCAGATGAGTGTTTTCCTGAATTTCTCTGACAGTAATCTTTGGTTATTTTTATTTTTGTCGGTCACTGCATATTGTAAATGTGTAATTTAATTCTATATATAATTTTGAATAATACTATTTTTAACGATTTTTACATTATTCAAATAATGCACAGTGTTTAACCCAATATTGATAAATTAAATAAGAGCAATAAACTTATTAGGATGTAATAAAAATATAATAGTATACATGAGAACAAAAAAAAATAAATATAATTTTCAAAAATTGATATAATATCCAAAGTATTATTTCGTTCCGTCTGATTACGTTTTATACGAATAAATTTTAGCACAATCGAATATAACTAAAAATTGTCGGATATTGGACATATCGGATTTCGGTAAATATTTTTAAATATCTGCTGTTTTATCTTCAATGAACCAAATAATCGCACACAAATTGAGATAGAATATTTAGAAGTTATATAGAGAATCCATTAGAAGAGATGATTATAGATTTGTATTACAATACGTTATTTTATTCATTGATACATTTAGATAAATGACTTCTGCAAGATATTTTTTGCAGAAATTTTGTGAAATTGCTTCGCAAGATTCTGTTGAGTCATTTTCAAATATTGCACTTCTCTTCGAGATTTCCCGAATTGCCAATCGGGCAATTATTCAACAAATGGTATCGAAGACATCCGAATTTAATACAGAAACTAGCTCTCAGTCACCAAATACTATGCTTATCGTTTTTGTCGAGTTCTGTTAATTGACTTGACTCAATCGCTTTGCACCATAATGTGATTATATACACATTATTACTTAAATATAACTGAAGCAAAAATATAATTAATTGTTATCTTTATATGATGAGATTATATGATGAGCACTTCAAACCTGTGATGAAAAAAATGAACGAGCTCTTTATTTATGCTTTACTTTATTCATCAATATGTGTAAATAGACAACTTTTGTCATTAATTATACATTTTTTTTTAAGCATTGGCAAGTTTAATTTATAATATTCGTGTAAATTATTCACTTCCAGATGTGGCATTTCTTTTCGGGATTCATTGCACTGCCGACCGGGCAATTGTAAGCTTCGGCGAAATCTTGTGAATTTGAAACGCTTCCTATAATTCTCAACCGTCCGGGGCTATGTGGGTCACGCTTAGCTTTATTTATAGTACTATTTATTTTTGCAGCTTCGCAGCACAACTGCAAACGTTACCTCAATTTTATACATACATATATTGACGCACATAATTATTCCTTAAATTTAATTTATTACAGCTTTGAATTTAGCAACTGAATTCACGATACTTACGTTAGCAAAGGATAAGAAGAAAAGTTGATCGTTAGTGAGATTCTCAAGACCTGGCAATACAGTATCCGGTTTCCCGCATTCTCTTTGTCTTCTTTGATATGCTCTAAACGCTGCCTCTAATCCCATTGTATCCGCGATATTCTCTCCTGCAGTCTGATTGCCATAGTTCTGCAATTGTTGACAATTTTGAATAAGTATGATCAAATATTTTTAAAACGCACGTCGAAAAAATAACGGTAGTGTAAATTAAACAGTAATTAAATGTAGAATAGATAACGCACCTTTATTGTGTAATTCGATGTTTTGTCAATGGAATAATTATTAAATTGCTCGACAAAACATTCTGCCCTCTTGCCATATGCTTCGGCCATTGCGGATAACCATTCCACAACATTTCCGTTCTTATCAAATAAGTGTCCTAAAAATTTAATATTAATTATTCTTTGTTTGTCTAGTCATACTTTGTAAGTATTTTCAAAGAGCTTTTGAGATGCATTTTAGAATAAGCTAATAAATATAATTTATTGTACCAATAAAGTACTGTAATTTAATAAAGTAAACGATCTAATAGCAAATTTTACTTTACAACGTTACCGTTGTTATCGAATCCGTGATTAACTTCGTGACCCATGATCGTTCCAATAATACCATAATTAATAACTCTGGAATAGAGTAAGTAATTAGACAAAATTTTATTAAGAATTCTAAAATTTTTAGAAATGATGTAAACTTATTTGTACTTATTGTTATAGTCACGTTAATAATTTTAATTGTTCGAAATTATTCACTTACTGTGGTCGACCGTAAGCAAATAATGGGCTCTGGAAATCCGCTGCCGAGATAGCTATAATTGAAAAAGAGATTAATGTCAATAAACGTGAATTATAGTTGTAAATTATATTATAGATTTAATTCCATTAAAAAGAAATATTATGAACCTATGGAATTATCACCCGGGGAGAAATAAGCATTTACCATTGTGGGGTCTATCATCATTCTGTAACACGGAATTTATTATATGAATTTGCTTTGCAAATTAAAGAATAAAGCTGTAATTACACTGGAACAAATACAAATTCGTTCACCCCCCAAAAAAATAATCTTAGTTTTAACGGAATTTTCTAAATCTTAGAGGATTTTATTCTTATATATGGCCTCAAGAGGAATCCTCTAAAATCAAGA